AAAACTAAAAAACAATTTTGTAACGACACGCCAGGTCTCTTGGACGCACTTCATATGCGCCAAGCTATTTTTTTCCTTTTTTCTTTCGTATTTTTCGTATTCTCTTATTCCTCGCTTTTGATTTATGAATTATGGTTTACGAGTCTTTAGCGCTTTTACTTTCGTATATATAGACTTTAACTACTTTCGACTTTTATATTCGATAGTTATTGATTTTAAGTTATTACTTTAAGATTCTTTTAAGCTTTTATATGAACTTTCGCGCTTTCGTAAGTTCTTTTAAGTAATCGCTTAAGGTCGTTATATTATTAATAATTATTTTACTCCGCCGAAAACGGCTTTAATAATATTCTTTTTTTTTAAAATTCTTTAGTAATTAGACGTTAAAACACTTAAACGATTCTAACGGTTACGAAAAGGCTTATTTTAAGTATAACTTAAAAGATAACATCTATATAATACAGCAACTTTCGCTTCGCGGGCAAAATCTTTCGCACATTTCTTAAAGCTGCTTTAGCAGCTTTTTTTTCTTCTTTTACGGCTTAACTAATAGTTCCTTTTACTTAAAAAGAAGCTATTAATAAGTAAAACGATAAAGATGATCTTTCGGCCTTTATTAACTTCGAAGAAGCTTTAGCTTAATATTAAGCTCTCTTTTAATTTTAACGAAAGGCCGCTAAGCTTAAGAAGCTTTTCGCAGATATGAAAACTCGCAACGAAAAGCTCGATAAAAGCGCTAGCGAATAAAAAACTTTCGCTGATAAAGTTAAAAAAAAGGCCCGTCGAGCTCGAAAGGAATTAAATCAGCTTTAAGCGGTCTTGCTAATTACGGAACCCTCGTTAAAGCTTTTTTAAGTGTCTTTCGAAGATAACTTTAAAAGTAAAGAGCTATATAAGCTTTCGGTTTTTTAAACTACTCTTTTTACTTATAAAACCGTTAACTTTCGCCGCTTTTTCGCCGACGACGATGAACTACTTTTTCTTTACAAGCTAATCAATTTCCGCATTTTAACTAAGTTCAATACTTTTAAAGCTCTTTTTTAGCTTTTTAAAGTCGCGCTTGTATCGAGCGGATCCTTAACTTTAAATAAAAGCTTTTAAACGATATAAGCTATCGAGCACGCTATTAGCAAGCTCGCGTTTTCGATAACTTAAAAGCTTTTAAAGAATACTTTTTTATAAAACGTTAACGCAAGAACTACGTTTTTAATTAAACCGAAAGGACAGCTTATCTGTTCTTAGCCTTTTTAATTATAAATCGTAGCAACTTCGTAATCGCTTCGGAATTCGTTTAGATCGCTTTCGAGTTTTTAAACGACTTCGCTAAGAAAGCTAAAGCGTTAATTAAGTTCGAAAAACTTTATATAAAGTTTAATTAGCAATTTTAAGACTTTTACTTTGTTTTTTTCGAAGCTTGCCGTTATCGTCGAAATCAAAGATAAAGACCGATTACGTAAAGCCTTGCGTTTTAAAATTATTAAAACGCTACGCGATTAGTTTTATTTAGAATTTGCTAAGACTATAACTTTTAAAGACTTTTAAACCGCCGTCTAGCAATTAGCTGCTAGTTAATACGCGTTTGCAAAGCTTTACGATGCTTTATAAACTAAGTATAATATTTAATTCGCGAAGAGCTTTTATAATAAAGCTCGTAACGAATCCCGCTCGGCTTAAAGAGCAGCGGTTAAGCAAATC